CGTTTATTGCAGTCGCTCCCCGTACAGAGGCGGCGGGTCCGGCCCGCGGCTCATACGTAGCCCGGCTTCAGCGACGAGCGGCGGCAGTTGGGGCAGCCCCGCGTCCCGTTCGTCTGCAGGCACCTGCAAAGCAAGGAGGCCGTTGCGCGGGCGGCCCCGGCGGAGCAGCGCGACACCCGCCTCTCCTGCTCCGGTCATGAGCCCCTGTGCGATGGGTCCTCTCAGCCCAGAGCAGAGCGGCCTTTCCACCGCCTTCATGGGAGCATTTCTGCGAGTACATCCAGGGAAAGGGGAAGAGCACTGATTGCCTTGACCAGGGGAGAGAGAGAAAGGACAGCCCTGGTGTCTACTCCTAGTGTAGATGTCAGGTGCAGGGGTGCATTTTTAAATGTGTAAACTTTTAGCATTCAGTGGTAAATGTTTTGTTATGCTCATGTCATTTCTCCTAGCAGTAAAAAAAATGATGTCCAGCTAACGTCTTCCAGGGCAGTCTTACAGTAACACAGTGAACACCCTATTCAGTTAAGAAATAGAAAGTAGGGATACTCAGGGAAGGGAAAAAAAAATCTCCAGCCCTGTAAAAGTCATCCTCCAAGAGAAACTAAAGATGACAAGACCCTGTGCCCCTAAGCACTTGCAAGGCCAGGGCATCAGTGAACAACGCTTTAGAGGCCAGAAGAAGGAGTGGGATGGATATTCTGTCTGAATCCTGTACCTAAAGGCCATGGGATTCAAGACAGCGGGTGGGGGGATGCTGTTGGGTAGAGGCAGGCAAGGCAAGCTGCAAAGCTGTCCTACGCTGGACACGAATAGCTCGCTGTCCTGTGACTAATGCTGCGACAAAGAGCCCACGGTCATTCCAGCGCATTACTTTAAATGGAAGAAGTGGGAGCAAGGCAGCGCCTGGAGCTGGTTGTTCCTCTCGCCGATGGACTCGCCGCACATGCCGCAGTAGAGCTCCATCTCCTCCACGCATTCGTGGAACTTCACCACGTGGTCGCGCAGCTCTCGCTGCTGCCCCTTCGCGCGGTAGATCCTCTCGCACAGGCAGTGGAGCTTCAGCAGGCCAAGCTGTGCATAAAGGCCAGAAACAGGAGAGAGGTGAATGACAAGGTGAAGACAGACCTGGTGGAAGGAGTAGAGAGTGCTACCGAGAGCCCTCTCCAGCCCTCTCAGCTGGCTAGAGGTAAATAGATCCCTAGAGCATAGAAAGCTGCCCGAGAGGCAGGATCAGTCAGAAGAACATTGAGTATCTGAGTACTTCATGCCATTAACCCCTCTTTCACACAAGGGGATCCCAGATTTGAGGCACTGCAGCTTTTTCATTCCAGTAAATGAAACCCCATCCTCCAACCCCACAGCCATCCCTGAGAAACGCAGTATTTCACTGCCCTTCACTCTCAGCTGTAACACAGTGGAGATGCTGCTCAAGCCAATGATATTTTTTTTAAGGAACAGACTCTTAATCCTCTGGCTCTCTTGGCTGTTTCATGCTACGTTTTTACTGCTCTCATTCCCATGTTTATCTCACTTTGACTTCTCCCACTTGCACACCTGTGCAACTCCTCACAACTAAATACTTCACAATTAAACAAGTCCCAAGCACCAACTGGTGTATATGGACAGAGTGACAAGCAATAACAAGTATGAACACTAACACAACGTCTCAATTTGCCCAAGAAGGCTACAGACACTGCTGAAGGGAAGCTATGGGATCCTACCTTGTTCCCTAGTCCCTCTGCCAGCTCCTGAGCCTTTTCAATGTTTTCCAGAGCCTGTGAATGGAGAACATGCACTGTCAGTTCTCAGTCTGATATATCAAAACAGACTTGTATGAATAACATGACAGGACTCAAAAGAAGAAGGAAGAGGTACAGAGTAGCATTCGGATAAATAATTTGCAGTTCTGGAGGGTATTCCCCTGCATAAGCTCATCCCTAAGAAAAGCGTAGTTTCTGAAAGATCACAAATCTTTCAGAAAATAGAGCTACATTTCTATTCCAGCCACACAACACAGAGTACAGCAGAAGAAGGACACAGGCTTATTTAAATGCAGCAGCACATCAGGTCATCAGGGTTGGGACGAAGCACAAGCAAAGCAAACGTTGTTCCCTTCGCACACCACAGGCTCAGCAATCTTGGGACACCTTCAGTTCCGATTTCACTTGTACAAGAGGGGAGGAGAGGGATCGGCACGGCCAGCGCACTGTGTTGTGCGTCCATATGTCCACTTAGCCCTACATCATGCTGTAAGTAGGACAGTGTTACTCTCAATCTTTTTCAGTCTGAAGGAAAAGTATTAGGTGTAGGAGCTGTCAAACCAGATAAGTCCCTACTTTCCCCCAGATGTGACAGCGTCTCTTACTGCTCTCATAACCAGTCTCTGCTTTCCAAGCTACTGGGACCCATTCAGGCTTGTGTGAGGGTAAGAAGTTGTCTCCCATGTGACACAGTATTTATAGGGGACACCTTATACAATTTCCACAGTTTAATTTGATATTACTGCTATACTGTGAGAAGAGGACCACATGATATGGGAGAGTGTGCTTTGAAAGCAGAGGAGATGGCATTAGACCTGTGGTGACAGCAACAGTCTGGGATAAGGAACTTACAGAACAAGGAAGCAGGAATTGAAAGGTAGAGGAGAGAACAGAACAGAGAACTGTGACAGGGAAGAGCAACTGGAAAACTCTGACATTAAATACTAGGTATAGGATCAAAGTGATGCAAGCAGCATATGGGGTTGGGAAGAAATGCTGTGAAGTCCAGGGGATGTTTCTCCTGAGACAAGAAAGCGAGGAGTGCACAGAGTCTGGACAAGCAGGCCATGGCAGGAGACTGAGAGGAACAGGGATAGTGCTGATTACACAACTGAATGGAACTCAAAGGAAGGTGGGACAAGCTGGCCAAGCAGGCTTGGAAGATATAAGAGGCTAGGACAAAAATATAATCTGCAAGGTGCTTTATTAGGTAACTAACATGAGGATGAGTGGCATGAAAAATAGAAATTGGGACTGGCAAGCTAAGGAACAGACTTGGGCAAGTGCTCAGGGCTGTGACCTTTAAGGAGGTTATGTTGACAAAATGTAAGTAAGAGTCTTTGACTACCAGGGCAGACGTCACTCTAATGCCTGGACAGAGCCAGAGATTCACACGCTCATTCCCTTTGGTGGGCTTTGGTGAAGGTAGGACTCTCTGCAAAGCCCCTACCCAGGCTCTCTAAGATGAAAATTGCTTGTGATATCTGAGGCTGCAATGAATAGAGAGGGGATCGGGGGTCCAAGAAGTAGGTGAATATTCAGAGGTGGTGCAGATGGTGCATTCTCCTACTTAGAGGTCTGCCTGCTGTGTCTTGCCGTGTTGTTTCTACGAATTGGATGCCGTGTCTCTTTGCAAAGCACATGGTGGAGCCATAGAGCCGCCTTATCGTCATTATCGTACTAATGAGCTTAGTTATTTAGCTAAATGGTAGGCAGCGTAACCTATTTCAGAGCATAAGCTGATTGTCTAAAATGCAGGAAGAGGCTTCCTTCCTCCCGGTACCGGCTTCTCAGCGTGGTGTTTAAGCCTTCAGGACTGACTAATGACCCAGTTCTCCAAGTTACCGGCCTGACCCCTGGTGGGATGTTCATCCTGCGAGTAGCAGATTCCTCGCCAAGAGGGGCCGTTCAGAGAAGTGTCACTGTGCAAGTAACAGCCCCTACTGGGGGGAGGAACGGGTATGGGACTCTGCTGGGGTGGGCAGAAAGCTCAGCAAGAGACGGCAGGCCCTAGTGCTCCCGTAGAAGCAGCTTCTAACTGACCTTCTCCAGCTCCTTCCGGATCATCCAGCATTTGGCGACTCCTAGCAGCACCTGGATCTGCCCCAGGCGATTCCCAATCTCTGTCATGATGCTCATGGAGGAGTCGTACCGAGGAACGGCTGTCTGCAGAGGCAGAGGGGAAAACGCGTTTTGCCAGGGCCTGCTCCTCACAGGCGCTCGCCCTCCCCTGCGCCGCGTGGCGGGAAGGGGCTCTACCTGCACGTCCTTGCGGCTGCGGTGGATGTCGGCGAAGCAGAGCAGGCACAGCGCCTGCAGGGGCCGGTCGCCGTGCTGCAGGGCGATCTTCATGGACTCCTGCGGGAAAGCGTCTGCGGTCAGTAACGGAGCGTGCTCCTGGTCCCGGGCAAAGAGGGGCTGGCAGTTAAGCGCAAGTGCTGCAGCCAGGGAAGGGTCAGCTCCAGAGAAATGCCACAGCCTCCTCAGAGGAAGCAAAGTCCTGTTCGCACGCCCCTAGTCGGAGGGCATTTATAGGCCCAAACTACTGAGATGACTCCTGAAAGCAGTAGCTCTAGGCCTGGGAGGCAGAGGGCACTGAGCTCGAGGGCGCAGGCCGTGTCCCCCCTTCCCGGCAGCCCCGAGCCCCCCGTGCAGAGCGCGCTGCCGGCTCCGCGCCCGCTACCTCCCAGCAGTCCATGGCGTCGGCCAAACGCCCCCGCATAGGCCACGGCCATGTGGTACTGGCTCATCGCGCGGTACTTCAAGCTCCAGCCTGCCCCGTAGTCGTTCACCAGCTCAGCTGCTTTACACGGGAAGAACAAGGCTTTCTCATAGTCCTGTAATGCAGACAGACAGTAGCCAAAGCAGAAGTGAGCAGCTCAAAAAGTGGGTGATCACTGAATATTTTCCATGTAGTAATGCTGCAACCTCTAGCAGCTTTCTGTACACCTCTCAATACCTGCCCTTCTTCCACATGCCCTTGTCTCAGCATTAACATGAATATCCAACTGTGGAAGGAAGAATTGCCATATGCATAATTCATATTATTCAGTGTGTCTGGGACACTGAGGCAATGACACAGCAACTGTCTTTCATGCAGTATGTTGTAAGCTTTACATGGCAGGAATGATGATGTCTGCCCTACAACCACAGACTGAAACGTTCTCTGCTCTTGAATCATCTCTGCTTTGAGCATCTACACAGAGCCCTCATGTTTTCTACATGCTTAGTCAGGACCTCTCAGAGGCTGCTTATTCATCATGGCAGGAAATAGGGAGAAAATTATGGCCTCAGTAAACCTGCAGTAAGTAATAGCATAACGTATTTTCAGTTTTTTAGCACCTTTTTGCAATAAGGGCCTAAAATTATGTAAAAGAAAAAAATCTAAACCCGTTCTTGAGTTGCATGCGATGGCAAAAATGAGAGCGCCCTCCTCTTGGGTGCTCATTCTCCACCTTCCCCACGCCTGTGAGGCCGTTGCCCTCCCACCCCGCCGGCCATGGGGCTACTGCACCTTGAGCTGCGCGTAGAAGTTCCCGAGGCTGCAGCAGACGCGACACTCGAGCATCTTGTCGTCGTTGTTGTGCGCGTAGCGCAAGGCTTTCTCAAAGCACTCCAGAGCCTTCTGGAAGACGCTGAGGCCCATGAAGGCGTTGCCCATGCTGAGGCTCACCTGGCCGTTCAGCTGCAGGCTCACGGTGGTGCCCTGCATGTTGAGGCACGTCTTACAGTACGAGATGGTTTTCTGGAATTCACAGAGCTTCTCATTGCTGCGAGCCAGGTTTAGGTAGCTCTCTGTGAGGAAATCCGGGTCTTCCAGCTCCCGTGCTGTGTCAATCTGTACAACTGCAAACTTTAAGTAGAAAATAAGGTGTTTATAAAAACATACAGTTTAGTTCGGCATGGCCCAAGCATCCAGAGGGGCACAGTCATGGAGAAGAGGCTCAGCTCTGAGCAGGGTGCAGAAGTCCAGCAGCAGGGGCTAAGGAGCAGAGCACACCCTGGGCAGTTACCTGGTGCTTTCCAAGGGGTCTGGAGACACCTCCCTCTCTTTACACAGAGCCTCTTGGGCAAGGAAGCTGAACTGGGTTGGCACTTAGCAGAAAAAGAGCTGTTGAAGGGCCCTAAAGAGATTTTGAGGCAGGAAATGTTCAGCACAGCCCAGTTCTGTCCTCTTACGCTCAATTTAATTTATTCCATTTTTAAATAGAATTCTTAAAATATTACATAGAAGCAGTGCTTTAATAAAGAAGTGATAACAAGTAAGCTGCTTCATCAAATAATTTCATACCACCAAACTGCCATTAGTTGTCATGATGGTTGTTGCTCTAGAGCCATTGGGACTCACTGCAGCCTGTTCTCTGAAATGATTTGAAGTCTTTTTGTTTGGGCTGCAAACTCTTCTGGGCTGGGGTGCTCTTCTCTGTTTTGTCATGAACCAAGCGCACTGCTAGGGTGAATTAGTACCGGTAGGGATGGTAAATATTTAGCAACTGTCTTTGTGTAGAAATCTGTCAGAGGTAATAGTTTCATTTACTGACAGCAATTCCCAGGGTCACCAATTCCTTCCTTTTTTTTTTTTTTTTTTTTTTTTTTTTTTTTTGTGTCTGTGTGTGTGTGTGTAATGGTACCACACATAGTTTGAGCATTTTTCACAGAATTGAAAGAAAACTAACAGCTTGTGCTTCAGTATATTTTTTTCACCTTTTTCTTAGCACTTTAGGAAGTCTGTGATGTGGACTCGGTGATTTGTATTAGCTGATGTTTCCTCACATTCCCTTCCCTTTTATTTTTTAAACAAGTTCTTAATTACTTCCCAGTTGCCACAGACACCTGCCTTGGTGTGAAGTAATTGTTCTTTCCAAAAGAGATTGAGCACCCTAACTCTTCTTAAATCGTGGTTAACTTCATACTTCTAGTTCCCAGACTCCTTTTCTCTCTCTCCAATTCTTATTTTCTCTCCAATGACTTACTGCTAAAGCTGTCCTCCTTGCTTGCTTGTACACTGTAAAATCTTTAGGTTCATTGAAGCCGTTTTTCCTTCCCAACACTGGGAGGAGTTGAAATTCACCTACTCTGAGCCCGTTTCCTGTTCTCTCCTCAGGTGACAAATGGGGGTTTAGGTCTACAGGGCCCCTTCCTTTGCCCGTTTCATGTTCCCATGAAGCCTTCTGATTTTTCTTCAGGTAGTCAGGTCTTACCTTCTCTCTTCATGAATCAGCTTGCTCTTTTTTTTTTTTTTCCTGTGACAGCATCTCATCCCACATCTCTCAGATTCTTCAAATGCTTTCCAAATCCATTGATACTCCTTTTTTCTTCTTCCTTGCAAGTATGTCTTTTGAAGATGGGGCTTTGAGACATAGATGTGTTTACTAGTAAGACGTGCCCCTCACCAGGTGCCAAAAGCAGGTGCTGACAGCCTTTCAATATAAGATGTGGCTTTTTTTTTTTCTTGTGCTGCAGTATTACCAACTTAGTAAAGGCAACTGAAAACCACCGAACAAGAATATCAAGGCTTAAGTAAGACCCTATTTCAAGCTGAGAGAGTTTCTTAAAACTATTACATCTTGTTGTCCTGCCTCTCAGATTCTTGAGTCACCGTCCCAAACACTTCCTGCTACTCTATGTGGAGCCTGTCACTTCTCAGATACACACGTCATCTTCTTTTTATTTAATCAAATATGTTTATCTTCATACTCTTGAAGTTTAGCTCCAGCTTCTTTCTGGCACCTTCTCAGCAAACCCCTTATCTGCCTTTTTTGCATGCTGTCCTGACAACTGCGAATCCCTCCTTGATCTCATCTGTCATGCTCCTCTTGCAATGTGCGTGTTTCTCAAAGAAAACAAAACAAACAAGCAAAACACCTTCTTTTTCCCTCTTTCTCCTTTTAATCATCCCAATACGAAGACATAACAAAAACAATGAGAGAATATTCCTGCGAGCATAGAATATTCCTGAAATTCCCTTTTACAGCAGTGTATTTGCTGTAAACATCTTTTACTGGGACAGAGGCCCTGTTTTCACATCTCTCTGTGATGCTGGATCAGACGGTGCGTGTGGCGGTGGGGAATAAATCAGTGACAGTCCCCGCGATTGATGGAAGGACCTGGATAACCTGGGAAGCCCCAAGGGCCGGGCCACTGCAAAGCAGCACGCTGTGCATCTTGCAGCCCGGGCCTGTTGGTCACCGCAGCGATTCAGAGAGCCCGTGACAGGCACCAAGCTCGGGGCAAGTCTTCCTGAGCTGCCATCCCCAGCCCCGCTCTCGCGTTGCGACGCGCGGCCGCCGCGCTCCTCCCGCTCGCCTTACCTTCAGCATGTCTTTGTACCTGCCCATCTCTGCGTGGGCAGTGATGAGACAACCCAAAACCCGAAACCTGCCAGCAGGATCCGCGGACTTCTCCAAAACCCTCATCCAGACTTGCAGGGCCTTCTCGGTGTGATTAGACTGGTAGAGATGAAGTCCTTTCTCTATCTGCTGCTTTGTCTGGTCCTGACCCATCTCTCTTCTGCATTAAAAAGCCTCATACACTAACCTTTAAGGAGAGCACAAAAAGGAGTGCCTGAGGGAGAACACAACGTAAAAAGCCCTAAGGGAGGAGGGCAGGTTGTGTGCTCAGAAGGCCTGGGGCTGTAAAATCCCGGCCATGCCGGGGTGCCGGAGCTGTGGCAGGCAATGGGCAAGTTGCTCAGCCCGGAAGACAGAACCCCAGATCCAGCAGGCAAGTGTCTCACTCGCTAAGATCCCATCTGCCTCGCCAGTCCCATAAACAAAGAGGAAAAGCACAACAGGGAGCGAGAGAGAAAAATCGCCAGCGATTGGAGTGAAACTCAATCTGAGCAGCAGTGCTGGGCTCCCCCGCATTGGCTGCAGCAGCGCCGGGCGCCCCGGCTCCCAAGGTCACGGCGAGCCAACCGCCTGCCCGGCCCGCCACTGCGCGGCTAACAAATACTGCCCGGAGAGACACCGCTGCAGGCACAGGGATGTCTCCCTTGCCTCTTTCGCCTCTCTCTCATAGTAATCCCTCTTTAATAAGCCCTGGTGGTGATGATGGGCTAGTCTGGCACACAGCAGCATCCCCTAAAATCGCAACTCTGGGGGCAACACATGCCTTAAAAAGGAGAATGAATTTAATGCTCGTGCACACGCATACATGCAGCATTAAATCTGCAGGAATGTGCCCAACACCCGGCCAGGCACAAAATCCAGCCTCTCCCTTGAGGAGCTCAGCAGACAGCTGTGATCCTTCTCTGGGAAATTTCAACAGGAGTTGTCCAAAGAATTGCCAAAATTCTGCACTCCGAACTTACAGGTCTTTTGTGACAAATTATAATAATGATCAAAAACAACAACTTTCTTCATCTTCTGACTGTACAAAAAGAAAATACCTTTAAAACTTGTCTATACATCTTTCAAAGAGTAAAAGGTAGACTGGTTCCTCCAGGAATCAGTTTCATACTTCCTTTATGTGCTGCATTTTTAATGGGCCTTGACAGCCTATACATTCATTCTGTCCTTTACAAGGTGAGTCAGTAAAGTTGAAGGGGAAAAGAAAAGCCTCACAGAAGCCTTATGTTTTTCAGAAATAGAAGGCAGAACATTGGTCTGCAAAAAAAGGAACCCAAAACTTATTAGAGAACAGCAGCAGCAATTCACAGATTTAATACCAGGCCCACGTGCAGAAGCAGCACATCTCCAGGCACAGCTCTCCTTGCACCCGAAGTCAGCGGGGGCTCTTCCCAAGTAAGCACAGCAGCTGATGGAATCATCACTTCACAGGCTGGACCATCCCGGCCTGGATCAGGGCTGCTTAAGGTGGCCCAGATCCAAGGGAGCCTTCCCTAGGTAGTATCCCTCACAAAACAGAAGGCTTCAAGAGACAATAGTAAGGAACCATAACCTTCTCAGCATTATTTTTTCTTCAGAGAGACCATGCATTTATTTTTTCTAAAGTTTCCCTAAAAGAGATTTTTAAATGGTAGAAAAAAAAAGGTAGAAAATGGTAGAAAAAATCTTGCTACGATCAGACTTGCTCTCTTTTGAGAGCTTGTATCCCCCATCTATGATATGTTACTTAATTTAGCATTATTTTTCAGAGAGGTGATACACTAGAAGGTGTTTCAGCATAAACTCTCTGTACTTTGAGACTTTGGAAACAGAAACCACCAGGTAAAGCTTAGCAACAGGTAATGCAGAGAGATCATTTCTGCTTACTCCTAACGTTGTTACGTAGAGCAAGAGGTGGCTCTCCTCGCTGCAGCGACAGCGACGTATCCCTCTGGAGACAGGCGGTGGGACGGGCACAGCATGAGACACTGATCCTCACTGACACAAGGCAGTGATAACGGTGGACCCACCAGGTCTCTGAATTTGGAGAAACTGAGGTTAGAAAGCCAGAGACAGCAGCCACTGGCGTCTGCTACATGAAAGAATCAATGAAGGAGTCAAGAAAGGGGAAGCAAAACCACAGAATTCCCTACCGGGGCAGACTGCTTTGAAGAATTACTGCCCACAAGTAACCTATCAATAATACAAACTGACCCTGATGGTTTTGGACCACTTCACCTAGACACTGGCCCATCAATTTTGCCATGCACTTGTTGCTCAGGCTGCACATCCTTGCCTTTTGAGTTGCACTTTCTTTTCCTATGAAAACAGGAAATCTACCTCATTCACCCACTACAATGAAAATTTATCCTAGGAAAATAAGGACTAGGAGAATCATTGAACTCAAATTGATGGTTTACAGAGAAGAGAAACACACTCTCATATGGAATGTGCCAGTACGATAAATAAGGAGGGATAAATGGATAGAGCCATCCAGGCACCACCTGTGCCTCTGAGGGAAGCAAAGGGAGCAGCTCAAGTCCATACGAGATTCAAGGGTGGCTTCTATAGTAAATGGCCAAGTTGCTTCCCAGATACTGCCAATAAGTTGGCCTGCAAGGCGCACGAAACACCAAGCTGGGGAATATCAGAAGTCACGGGGGTCATCACACCCCCTTTCTGCCTGTGAGCACTCGTCCTCCCCTCTGCTCTTCGCGACGCTCCTGGCTGCGTGAAGACCAGTGAGGTCAGAAAGATTAGAGCCTGGAGTCAAAACTAGTAATGGGAGGAGGAGGAGGAGGAGGAGGAAAACAATATAAGAAGAAAAGTTTTCTCCTTAACATTAGGACTTAATCTACAAGTTTGTCTATTTCCTGTTGATGCTGACAGATTTGAAAACTCATGGGAAATGCCAATGATTTTCAGAAATTAATAGGCTGGCTCTTGTAGTTTAATAGCTGACTGAGTGGCATTAGCCCTTTAAAAAAGAAAAAAAAAAAAAAGAAAAAAAACCTCTCCATAAAGTACAAAAAAAGCTATTTACCCAGAGACCCCCATATCAGCTTCCGTAACATACAACTGACACAGCTGCTGCTTGGAGATCACATGAGATGAGCCCAGCCAGCTTTGTCACACAAGCAAGAACCTCCCATCCCACACAGCCCTTTTCCCGATTCAACTGTTTCTCTCCATCTTTCCCCCCAGACTCGCATGAACTGAAACCTCTCCGGCCTCCCTTCGACAGCTGCGAATTAGCTCAGGGATCCCGGCACGATGCCGCACAGCAGGTGGGTCAGGGCCCGGCCCCGCAAGTGCCGCGCGGCCCGGGGGAACGCACCGCCGAGGCCCGGGGGAACGCGCCGCCGAGGCCCGGGGCTGGCGAGCGCCCTCGGTTCACGCTTGTGTAGGAAGTAATGGGGTGAAACAGAGTATGACAGACAAGAGGAGAAAAGGACATGGAGGAGAAACATGGCTGCCCTGAAAACACTTGCTATCTCTGAGCTGCAAGTCAGCAGAAAGGGAGGAGGAACATTTTTGAATTTTTGTATCATTTAGAAATGTGGCTAAGTCATGGTCATCACGGTACCTGCCCTCTGAGACAGGCAATATTGATGTCAAACTCATGGCAAATTTCCAAAAGAATTATATATTGCCTATACCAAATGTTAATCTTTAAAAAAAATCATTTTAAATTATGCATCTTAGTTCTGGGAGCAAAACAGATGCCTTTTAACAAAGCCTTAGCTGATAAGTCCTTTTTTTTTTTTTTTTTTTAAAAAAAAATCCCACTTCTTTTTCTCAGTTTCCCAGGGCAGTGTTTCCAGGAGCACTAGGACATACAGTTACTTTCATGCTACAAACCAAGGTAGGTTCAGCAAGACTGGCCTTGCTCCCAGCATGGGGACCAAGTAAGGAGGCAGCGGAAGGTATGAGGATCGTAGGAAGGGTATGAGCCGCTATCTCCAAGAGTGCTCATCTAACCCCACGCACCACCACGCTGGCACCGTTCAAATATAGCTCAACTTCGGTAGGATGCTAAAGTTAACCAGTTCTTGAAGCTCCATGGCGCACAGGGCGCCCACAGGAAAGCGGCTTCCCAGCACCCAGGCTGTGAGATTGGATGTGGCCACCCTTCACTCGCCAGGGTATCGTGTATTTGTGGTGTCCGATATCTCCATGTCTTGTCCAATGGAGGCTTATAAAATGATACAAATTGAAGGCCAATAGAAGCAATTGAAAATCTTTTCCATTTCTCCCCAATGCAACGAATCATGTAGAGATGAAAACCCAGGGCTATTTTGTGCATCTGGAACAAGTGGCCTTGCCCCAGGAAAGTTTAATCGCTCACAGGTAACAAACAGGAAAACAGTTCTCCCACCGTGCATCTTCCCACTCCTAGGCCCAAAAAGAGCATCAAGTGTAAAACAAAGACAGCACACAAGGACTCTTCTCAAACAGTTTAATAGCAAATAAACAAAGGAAGGTACCACACTTGGCATATACAAAATGACTTGTTGTCGGTGTGTCTGTGCAATTAAAACAGCTTTAAGTTGCCCTTTGGGACAAAAAGGAAAAAAAAAAAAGAAACACACACACAAAAGGAAGAAAATTCCTTTAACACATACTCGCTCGTTCCAAACTTGTAACAAATCTTTTCTTTTTTAAATCCACTACACAAACTCTGCGATCAGCTCAGAAAAGCAACACGTGCTCCTCTGCTTTTTAAACCATCAAAGTAAAATCCGTAATTCTCTAGAGAGTACAACACAATTTCACACAAAAAGACATTTTGTTTTGCAAATCAAAACAAGAAAAAAGAACAGCTCAAACAAGGTAAAGAAAAGCATTTCTACGACTGAACCACGACTTCGAGTTGATTAAATCCCGTTTACTGCAGAACAGACTCTACATTTGGTCATAGTGGCAATTTGTTTTCTCGTCACATTGTGAATCACTTTACATTGTTTTCTAGTAGAAAAGGCAAAAAACTGTACAAAACCCCTAGTGTTAAATACAATGTTTGTACCAATAAAAAAGCCCACAGGTTTGTCTCCAAAATGTAAATTTTCTTTTTAAATTATTCACAAAAAGCAGCCAAAAATCAGAAAGGCAGCTGCTGCTCCACTGTCTCAAATCCATTAAAACCACCACAGAACAATTAAAACAACCGAAGGAAGAAAAGGAAAGAAGAAAGGAAAGAAACATCCAACGTTTGGCATTTTGGTTTTCTTCAGATATTTTTCCACAGGTTTCCCCGACGTTCCTTATGGAACCAAATGCGCACGTACAGAAATGTACTGGCAGTTACTCAACACACTGCAGGGTATCGGTGCCCCCCACTGACACAGAGCCCTGTGCATTCAGACTGTGGGACTAACAGCAGCCAGCCCACAACGCTACCTCCCAAAGGAGCAAGTCTCCATCCTCCTTTCCTCGTCCGCCCCTGCACTCCGCTCCCAGGTATATGCCTCCTGTCCAAAAATGTTTTGTCTTTATAAGCAGATACAGGACTGTCTACACAAATCTAATCAGTGTCCATTGAGAATTATAGTATCCTCAGCCGACTCAGCAGTAGAATAAATCCTTTAGCATCTTTTTTATCCCAAGCACTGGACAAAAGTAAGATTTCCACCCAATCAAAGCGCATTAATTTTCTCAGCGAATCCCTTTCCCCTGGGATTTCATTCCACGCTATTTTCTCTTGTTAAGGCACCTACACTAGCTCACTTCTTTCTCCCTGTGATGGACACTTCACCACAGCAAACGCTCGTCCGGGTGCCTCCACCTAGAAGCTCCATCTCGGGCACAACCTGTGCAGGTCGCACGTGGGGTAGGGGGACGCCTGCCACCCAGAAAGCGGCAACCTGCTCTAGTTCCTCCTGTGAGGCAGGAAAACTGCTTAGCTCATCACCCAATTAAAAACTAAAGAAAAAAAAGAAAGAAAAAAAAAGAAAAAAGAAAGGAAAAAAAGCCCTAAAAATCTCCGCAGAGATTCCCCAGCTAAGGCCCTTGAGGAGAGGGCTGGGGATGGTACCCTGTTCAGGTAACAGCTTCCAAGGCTGTTGTATTGTGCTTGTCACTTGGGGAAAGAGCCAGCAGTTGTGACCAGGTTTACAAACGCTTTCGCTAGGATATTCCAAACATGTTATTTCAAGAGCTGACCTAGAGTCTTCAAGGATCCTGCCACCAAGGTCTGACTGATGATGTTAAACAGGGGCTGGACTTCACAAAAATCACATCCCAACCTTGATAAAGTAACGAGTAAAGGGTGTTTCAAAGGAGCCCTGGTTTCAGAGAGTTCTGGAAACAGAAACACTGTGAAGTTGCCCCACTTTCCTGCTTCCCAGATATTCCTTTCCATGAAAACTGCCCTCACAGCAGCAGTGCAACCCAGCCCCGGGCACCTCCAGAGATGGAGCAAGGTCCAGGTGCTCTGTCAGGCAGACAGTCTAAGTGCACAGGTAGATGCCCTCAGGTGGCTTCTGTTCGGACATTTGTTATACCAAAAACACCAATTTAAAAGGATATCTTTGAAACCCATTAAATTGCTCAGTTTTTGCACAAACTATAGAAAACAGAGGTGAAGGCGATATATACGAGGGTGTGAAGAAAACAGCAGGAAACATGCAAAACATTTCTGGGCACTATCTTAGTCTGAAAGAGTAAAACAAAACCATCACATTTTGCTGAGGAGATTGTAGTTACGAAAAAACAAGCATGCTGGGGCTTAACAAAACACAACACCACCTTTGATCAAATTTTCACTGCAGACTGATAATCACACAGGGAAGAGGGGGAGAAAAAAAAAATCAGTAAGTGCCAGGGCAAAAATGTAGCTACAATCAGAAGTGTAGTTCAAGTGTTTTCTGCTGATGCCACTCAAGTCACGAGTTTAAACTCATAAAAATACATGCTGTCTCCTCAAGCACAGAAACCCGATCAGCAAAATGTGACTAGGAAGCCTCCTGAAAGATTGCGTCACACCATATAATTGACTTTTTCTTCAAAACTGTGTTTTTTTTTTTTTTTTTGTTAAAACTAAGCACACAGGAAAAACTAAGCCTAGAAAGTGATTGGCTGTATGTTCACAGAAATACAAATACTCCACAAGGTATGCTAGCAAGGCTGCTCCGAAGACAATTACAAAGAATCAGATTCACAAAATCAAGTGGTTATCTTACGAAGGTCTAGAAAAATAGAATTTTTTTTTAATATTCAAATGCAAGTTTAAATATTCCCCTTCAGCAGTCTTTCTAGCAAAACCAATTTGGCAGCACAAAAAAAAAGAAAAACAACAACAAAAAAACCAAAAAAACCCAAAAAACAAAGAAAGAAACAAACATAATAAAAATACACATCAGCATCAAAGGTCAACACAAGGTCAAAGGTGAGAGTTCAAGCATCAGAGAAGCTGAAGAGACAAGGATTTGGACGATGTACTTGAACGCCACATCGACATGCTTTAGGCACAACGATGAACAAACGGCAGGAATCTAGAAAAAAAACAAACCAGAAAGAGGGAGACCCACTGAGTTACACAGAGCAGTACATCCAAACACGGAGAGAGAGAACAAGGATGGGCACCGCACAATGAGACCTCCTTGGGAAGGGAGTCGACAGGGAAGGGCAGCACATGCCAACGATGGACAAGTGAGAGTCGAAGTACATGAAGGACACCAAGTAAACATCAAACTGCCAGAAACCAAATGGAAGCGGAGGCCTGGAGCTCCCTCTCCGCACGCGGCCTCGTGACACACTGGTTAGCGGGCGCTCACCTTGTCCCGT